GCGAATTAACAGAAGAAGCACGAGGACGGGGGGAAATCGCTACAGAGACAGATAAGACCGATATACAAAGAAAAGACATATTAACAGAAGACGAAGAATTTACTAAGAAAATTCAAGAGGAAGCGGAAGAACCATCCTGTCGTTGAAGATCACAGTAAGAGACGATTAGGGTTTCAATATCTGAAACCCTAATCGCGTCACCTAATCTCCGCTGTCTTTGCCTCACCACCGTCGTCTCAATGTTCGCTGCTACCAGAACCTGCAAGTTAAAGAGGATTAGCTCAAACTGGACAAAAGCTCAAGAATGAAAACTGATATCGCAAAGGGGTAACCACTTAGCTTTTTTTCTTTTTTTTTCTGATTGCTGGTTCAAGGGTTTGGTGGATTGGGACTGGGTTTTGGTAGAATTTTGTAGCTCTGCCGCGGTGAGGAGTGGGCCGCCGGTTAGCCTTTAGGGTTTGAGGAAGAGAAGGAAGAGGGTATGTGTAAACGAGAGAGAAAGAGTGAGGTTGTTGTAAACTGAAAAGAAAAAATGAAAAAGAAACAATAGTTATATTTCGTAATAATCCAGTACGTACATGCACCTCATAATTATCATGTTCCTTCAATCATATTTGTTAGATTTCCATCAAACAGCCATAGGCCAAGTCCCCGCCATAATTACCGTACTCCCTCGCAACACTCAATCAATCGGCCTCCCAAATATACAATGGGCCTGAGCCCAAATGATTTCTACACCCCATCGTCTGGATTACTGAAACACAAAACAATTAGCACCCCCCTGTCAGAACTCATATTTGGGCCTAGCCCAGTTCTGCTTTAGACACCCCTAGTTTTACTATATAACTGAAAACACACCCCATTTGATTTTAATTAAATTATGTTTTTTTTAATATTATTTCTTTGATATTATATTTTTTATCTATTTTTTATATGTTATATTTTTTTTATTCTTAAAATATTAATTATAATAATTATTATTATTAATATTTTTTTATTATCATATATTATTATTTATTATCATCTAAATTATTTTTATTTAAATCTCATTCATATATTATTTTCTACATTGCATTAAATATTTTTTAATCATGCACTAACAAGAGTTTTTGCAGTTAATACGATTAAAAAACACGCAACAAATCATTAAACTATTTTTCGAAATCAACTAAGCTAATAAACTATTTTTTTTTTGCAAAAGGATTTCAAACGAATTTTAACTAATCGCGCATTTAGCCAAAATCTCTGTAATCACTACAACCGGTCAAAATGCGAGGTGATTCAAAATACATTTTCAACCCCTAAAAAACACCAACCCATACGAACTACGAATTGGGACTCTGATTCCTCATAACAGGATACGTAGGCATACGATCAAAAATCGTGTCTAGTTCCCCTATTAAAAATTAAAACCCTTTCCCCTATTAAAATTTAAAACCCTATTTTACCCGAACCTAAACCTAAAACCTAATATCCTTGTGAACAAGGTAGATGAAAGGTTCCTAACACCTTCCTTTCGTATAATAAGAGTTCGAAACCTAGAATCTCTGTCTGCCAATTAGGGTTTTCTTTTAGATTCCCTTCCTTAGGATAAAAACTAATAGTGGAGACTCTTAATTTAAAAACCAGTCGCAACAACACTCAAGGAGGTATTTCTTCATGTTATCAGTCGTAGAGACCTGTACTGCTTCCTTATTGAAGCCCTCGATGTACGCCCAAAGAGATTCATCCTTTCCTTGGATGATCGCTTCGAGCGAAGCTTCCGACTTCGGGTGTCGACGTGAGGCTATGAAGTGCCTCGAGAACATGCTCCCAATCTGCTTCTAGGAGGTGATGGATTCATCTAGGAGGCTCTTGTACTAGGACATAGCTCCCTTCCTGAGTGTGGTCTGGAACAACCTGTATTTGATGGCTCCTCAGACCCCTTGGTAGTTGAGGAGAGCGTCGATGTTCTTAATATGTTCGTCGGGATCCGTCGTCCCGTCATACGTCCCCAATGTGGGTGGTTTCTTTAGTCCGACCAGGAGAGGTGCTTCTATAATTTCCCTCAACAATGGTCCACGGGGTTCATCGTCGTCGCTATCTATAGGAGACGAAGAAGGGGAGTGATAATTCCGTCCCCATCAGGTGTGGTGATCTCGATGGGGGGAAGTACTCCTCTGCTGCTGCCTCAGCTTCGGCGATGGTGATCGACAGTGGTCGGCTTTCTTTCTCTTGGACGACAGAAAGTCTTGATCTTTTGGTGGCGGTGAGCGGTTGCTTTTCTTGAAGAAAGAAACATCGCACTTCTCCTTTGTTGGTGGAAGGCCACGCCTTGGTGGAGATATGCTGGGGGAATATCGTCGTCAGTATCTCCGAGGAGGAGATCTTGACTGATTGTGTTCCCAGGCCCCCATCTTTTTATTCTGTTGCAAGATAAGGGTATTGGTTTGGTTGATGGCAGCTGAAACAACCGGCTAAAAATCATCAAACAATGAAGTCGCCATCGAACGTCTTTTATCCCACATGAAGGGAAAGGTAAACATCGAGTAAACCTGAGAAGGGTGAAATCGAGGTCGAACGACTAAGAGATAAGGGTAAGGGAGTCTGTTACGCGAGGGGAAGGTATTAGCACCCCACACGCCCATAGTACTCTACGGTATCCACTCTTGTTGTCTATCTTATGGGTGTGTTTAATCTATGCTTACCGTCTACTATACTACTGGAGAATGCATGCAAAAGAAAGGGGAAAAAGAATGTAGGGAAAATAAAATTGTGCTCGCTTGGGCCCTACCCCAATGCCTACGTATCCCTCTAAAGGAATCAGAGCAGCCGTAGTTCGGCTTATGTTTTTGTTTGTTTGTATTTTCTTTAATGAACAATATTAATTTCGCCTTCTGCCGTAACTCGACCTTTGGAGACTTACGCGTCAGCACAGAAGTGAATTAACATGCTCTCTGAAAAGATTTGGAGAAAATGTGCTTGGGCGCACAAAAGTTTGAATTTGGTTTATGTTTTTAATGAACGATATTAATTTCGCGTTCTGCGGCAACTCGACCGTTGGAGACTTACGCGTCAGCACAGAAGTGAATCAATATGCTCTTTTTGAAAAGTTTTTGAAAGGAAGGCCCGAAGGCAAAAAGAGTTTGCATTTGTCGGTGTTTTTGCTTGTAGATAATGGCTAGTTAATCTCAAGAGAGAGATTTTAGCCATGTCTCTACTTATTCATGAAATGAGTCTTTGAGACTTGAATCATACCAAAGCTTAGAACAAGAGAATAATAAGGTCGAGAAGAAACCCGCTTATCATCTCTCAAACTTAGCCAAGACATGGTTCTTGTCAGTAAATTTTTATGTATTTTTGAAGTTTGTAAAAAAGGAGAAGTTTTTGTTATTATAAATGCATATGCGAAAAGGGAAAGAAACGTTATAGGGAGACTAGCCTAAACTTGATTCTATCACACTTCATATGATCTATGGGAAAAGATAAATGCGAGGTAAAAATAGAAAGAAAGTATACCAAACGGATACTAGCCCGTAGAGCAAAGCAGAAAAAGCAAAGATACTTGATGTTCTTGCGAGCTGCTAGCACAAACAAAGAAAAGAGTCAGAAACCCCATTACTGAAGCATCTTTTAATGTGAAAATAAATCACAATCGGCATCTCGAGCATATCCATATAAAAACCTGCATAAGACTCGAATCTTGACGAGCAAAGTGAATTACCAGTTTCGAGTAACGGAATAATCATGAATTAATTCCCAAAGGCAAAATAATAAAAAGAATATAATAAGTTCTCCTCTTTTCTTTTCTTTTTTTGATTTAACCATTTGAAATAACAATTAAATAAATGAATAATAATAAAAGGAGAAAAAGAAATAAAAGAATTCCAAAACGACGACGTTTATTGTAAACGACCCCTTCCAGCTCCTTTACGCAGAAAGCCTTTCTTCTACATGTCGACAACAACAATGGCGATGCCGCCATGACTCCACCCCTTCTCCCCTGTTCCGATTCAACTTTCTTGTTAACACCACCTAACGTCTCCCTCTGAATTCGATTCCTTTGCTTGCTTTTGTCAATTTCTCTTCCTCTATTCCGAATCTAACAACGAAACTTAAGCTCTACATTTCTTCCGATCAAGATTAAATGGTGGATTTATCGTTCGCCGCATTTTACCCTTCGCGGTTATGGTACAGACCAAGAAAAAAAAGTCGTAAAAAGAAGAAGATTGAGGATTACCTATTGAAGACACGTTGGTAGCGCTTCAGAAATCAAGAGGTGAAGTAATACAGTTATTGTCCTTCTTGATCTTGTCTGCTTCGTCTTGATTCTCTCATCACTGTCTTCACTTTTTCTTTGGTCTGGGAGTTGCGTGCGTTGGCGATAGGAGAAGAGAGGAAATGATGACAATTATGAAGATTATCGCAAGTTGAGAAAAATGAACTTTGTATGATGAATCAGAGAGAAGTGAAGCTTTGAGAACTAACTGAAGGTCGAACAATGGCGAGTGGAGGTGAAGACGGAGTTTAGAGAGGGGAAATTGAAGATTATGAGAGTTCAGAAAAATTGAGAGTGAATGATGGAGAGGGAAGAAGTTGTTTTTGAAGCTGATACAATGATGAAGTTTTGAAACTGGAAAAGAGAGAGTAACTTTTTTTTTGAAACTTGGAGGGAGTTTGGATTATATAGGTAGTTGAGGGAGATGGAAATGGTTATGTGAGAATCGATCCGAACCATTGATTTGGGTAGAGTTTGTTAGAGATTGAAGGGTGAGATTGAGAGTTTGTTACAAAGTGGTTATGCTAGTTGGGAATTCTGTTTGGAGGTAGTTAGAGAGTTATAAAATTGTTAGGAGGAAATTGATGAGCTATTAATTAATCTTCTGTTTCCCATTCTTTAAGCTTCTGTCCTACAAACAATTCTTCCAGCAGCCAGCTGCTTTGACAAAGGAACATCCAAAAATGGCATATTAGGATACCATTTGTCAGTTAATTCAACTTGTACCACCTCTTTATTCTGATTAGATAAATTTCCGTTTTGAAGTTTCAGATTTCCCACCAAGCTTAGTCTTGTGTTGATTGCTAGCGTTTGTATTAGTGTGCAGCTCAGTTTTTTTTATGTGTTTTAGAGATGGGTGCAAGCCTTCTGAAGTTTCCACAACTAATGTAGGATTTGAGATCAATCTGGATGACATAGCTGTAATATTGTAAGATTTACACGATCCATTTACCACACTTGGCAAACTTGATTGAGATTCTGGCTGAATCTGAGCTTTAAGTTGAAATGTGCACCGGTAATTTCTTACGAAAACACAAACAGGGAAACACGGATCCTTGCAGTGCATGGAATGACGAAGCAATACCCTATTAAGATGACAACGCGGATATGGACAATGACGACCTAGGGTGCATCCATCTATGTGCTTGCATAAATTCTGTGCACTAGAACAACAGCGTTCTTGGCATCGTCCTTCAGGAGCAGAACATCGTCGCGCATGAAGTAGAAATAAGAGCCACCTTTGTTGATTTTTATGCGCATTTTTTAGATCACTTCCTGAGTCTGGTGGATCAGCTGCGCCTCTAGGAGCAACAGCTTGGCTCATAGATACATATGATGATAAGTTATTGTAATGATCTTCATCCTTTCCTGATATTCTTTGATGAAAATCCACATGGAGATGTTGGTCGTGTGAAATATTGTTAGACATGTGGTTACCATCTTGTGAGTCAGGCCATTGGTTTAGAACTACTGGTTTAGAATTGGATTGTGCACCAACTGTAAGACAACTGAACTTATTTTGATATTCTGCAACTAATTGGTGTGGATGCAACATTTGTTGCAAATTTTGAGGTGCTGATAACGATAAATCGTGCTGACCTGATGGAAAGGAAAGGTATTGAGCACTCCTAGAAAAATCTTCAGAGGAATTTTGCTGGAACTGATTTTGCATCTCAGACATATGGAACTGTTCAGGAACATGAGAATTGAACACTTCTTTATCGTGTTCAATTCCAGGCTCTATCTTCACTTGGTTTTCTAGATTGGAAGACAACTGAGACTGATTGAAACCATCGTCATTGACCAAATGCTGAGGCTGCTGACTATGTAGTTTCTACCGAAACTGTTGTTGTGATTGTGAATACTGTTCTAGCTGTTGAAATTGCTGGGGCCTTTGCTGATACTGTTGTTGAGAATGCAGAAAGGCATCTCTTGAAGTCGATGAAGACTGAAACTTTTCCAATTGATTGACTGCTTAAATATATTGGCAACAGGATCTGATTTCGAGTTGTCTGAGACAAGGGAGTGCTTCTGGCTCTATCTTCCATTCCTCTAATTGCTCCAGCTTCCAAACTTTTAATACATGAAGTTGCGGAAAGCTATAAGATTTGCAAACCATAGTTGTTCGCGTGTATGACTCTGCAAGTAAACACAGTGTTTGAAGATTTGGAAAATCTTTCAAAAGTATCATGGGATCATCCTGTAGTTTTGAATGTGATAGGGTAAGTTCAACTAGGCTTATTGGAAATTGGGACACAATAGATGAACTGCTCAAGCTTCCCAGCAAATACATGTCCGTGAGATATGCATTATTTTCGAAGGATTTCATGTGTAAAGTCCAAGGTCGACCTTTTTCATCTCTAGATTTCAGTTTCAGTGATTGAAGGTATTCTAATTTTGTAATCCAGTCAGATACTGTCTCAAGTTGAGCTATCATCGGCTCTTGGTTTAGTGACATTGATTGGCATGCTAATCCCAACTTTGTTATATTGACCAATTTGTCCAACCCACCCTTCACTGGAGTCTCCTCATCCACAAACAGTCCCCATAATGTTTGGAGGTCAGATAGAGAATTACCTTTTGGTTGAGGTGGAAATCTGGTGCGGTAAGTCTCACTCAAGAACAAGTGTCTGAGTTCCATCTTCCAAATTGAGGTAGGAAGAGTATGTATGTTTGAGGTCAAGTGTTTGCAGCTTCAACAACTTGCTTATAGATGATGGAAGTGACTCTAAGTAGGTCCATCTCAAGCCAAGATACCTTAGTCGGGTAAGTCTTGATATGCGCTTAGGCAAGTTGGGCTTGTAAACGCGTTCAAGATCAAGCACCAGAAGGAGTAAAAAGCAATCACTTGAAATACATCCCTTGAGAAAGTTACCTACTTGTTTTCCAGGTTTACTCCCCTCTTGACTATCAAAGGAATGAAAGGAGAGAACGTCCTTGTAATAGCTTTGAAAGGAAGTTAAATTAGCATTGTCACCATGAATGTGATCGTTCCAGATATCATCTTTATCAAGATGATCTGCAACCCGACGAATAATGAACTTTTTTGGGTCTGCACTTGAATCCGTGGCAGATCGGCGACCTTGTAGAAATCTGGAGTCGTTAGCCTTTGACAACCAGAGTTTCCGCAAAGCACTAGGGAGACGACATGTTTTCACCTTTCCATTGCGCTTTCTCTTGGCTACTTGGACCATGTTCCGATCTATCAACTCTGTCAAGTACCTTTCTGCAACGAGCTCCGGGGGCACTTCGTCATCTTCTGCTTGATGAATTAGACTCTTGGCAACCCACAAAACAACCAAACTTCTGTCAGGGATCCCAAATTCAGCAGGGAATAGCACAAAGTAAAATAGGCATCTTCTCAAATAATAAGGTAAGTTTGTATTAATTGTGTCAAGCGTTTCAGACCAACATTGTATTTGATTTTCCTTGAGCTGCTGCCCTCCTAGCACGCTTAACCATTCCTCATGTGTAACATCTTTATGTGAAAGCAAATCACTTATTTTCAGTATTTGTGATGGCAGTCCCCCACATTTCATCACAATTTCTTTTCCAACCTTGATAAGTTCTGTTTCTGACTTGGGGACCTTCAAATGTCTTGTGAACAACAGCCAACTAGTTTCATCATCTAATAACTGTAATGGGTGAAGAATGATTCTACCTGCTGCATGTTGGGCTACTGTTGCATTGCGAGTAGTAAAAAGAACTCTGCTTCCTGTTAACATATCAGGTATGACCCTATTCAAGGTATCCAAGTATACTTTGGATGTTTCTTTAAGGCCATCAACAACTATAAGGTACTTTGAGTGTGCCAAGGTTGTGAGTACGTAATCAGTGGGCATGTTTTCTTCTTCTACTGTAATTTTCTTGGCGGTCTCCTTGCCAATTTCTGCAACAAACTGGTGTGTCGTACAATTTGAAGGCAGTGACACCCATACGCGACGCTGAAAATGAGCTACAACAGTGTTGTATTCAAATATCAAATTGGCTAGTGTTGTCTTACCTGTGCCTCCGACTCCAACAATCCAAGTAATGCAGCGGCATTTCTCGTCCGACAGTAACTCCGTCATCAGAACTTGTGTGTCATCATCAAATCCAACCACACTGGATTTCTTGGCAGCGAGATACGGTTGCATCCGTGCACGTAATATTTGAATCTTAGATACGACTCGGCTTTGAATTTGCACTAAACCATATGCTTTTCTTCTCCTAGAAGCATCTTCAATTTTGTTTCTGATACCATCTATCTTCTTACTAACAACATGTCGAGTCCAGTACTTACAAATGTAGATGAGAATTGGCTTATGATTCAATTTGGCATCATATTTGTTAAGGACAAATTGAGCTTCAAGGGAAATACCTCTTAGTTGCTCCACCCAGATTCTGGATCTTCCATCTAGTTCTCCCATTCCATTTGCATCCAGAAGCAATGCGTCTATTAATTCCTTTTCCCCTCTGATTAATTGGACCTTCATTTTGAGCCCCATAACTGGGTGATACGAGGAGGAGGCAGCTGCGGCTGGCATAACATCCGAACTTTCATCGTGTTCAACAATGATTTCATCCTCAATATCTCTCTCTTGAATGCTGCTAATTGGGGTTAATAATGGTGTGGGATAATCTTTGAAAATAACAAGTTGAATCATGAAGAGATTCTTGATACCATGTACATTAATCTCAACTTATATTCATGTGCCATCTTCCTCCGCAAGAATTTATGAAATAAACCTTCGGGCATGCTATTTCCTTTTTTATCAAGTTTAACCTTAATCCATGTTTGAAACCAAAGTTCTTGCACAAATATCCAAACAATAGCTTGTACCAATTATTCGCAATACCTTGACCGTCAAGCAACCAAATTTACCATACAAAATATCTTAAATCATGACGTACCCAATCCTAATTGATTAACTTAAGGATAGATGAACTTAATGCAACAATGACATAGTCAACAACCTGTAATGCAAGCATTATATGCATCCTGGAATGATAACAGATCTTGATCCTTTAGAGAAGATCTTAATACACCCCTAGTATTGACAAAACCTTGACCAAATGACAAGCACAACGATAGAATGAGGTGTTTTGAATCATGTACGCGAGATCACAACCTTATGTTATTGACAGGAATACCCTTCAACTTATTATTCAACAGAAGATAATAACCTTGTAGCTTGATGGAGAAGAAATCCAAAAAAGAGAATGAACCAAAACCCTAATTCCACAGCTTGCTGCCTGAATAAGAAATCATCCCTTATTGGATACGAGCGCCTTAACCACTGGGAAACCCTAGTGTCGCACAACCACTGGACTTTGAACCTCAGAGCTATTTTGAATGAAATGTATTCCATGTTAGTGACCTAATGAAATAGATGCAGATGAATGCACAAGTCTAAGCCAAAATAAAAGAAATTAGGAGGGCAAATTTTGGGGTGCAACAGCTGCCCCTATTTAATCGTCTTCAACTTGAAGGTGAGATTGGCGTCAGCCTTTCGAACTTTCAGGGTGGAGGAAGATTAAATACTAAAAGAACCCGGAAATTTGCGCTCCGGAGTCAGTCAGGTATGCACTATATTTTTTTGGTTTTCTGTACTTTCTATATTTATTTATTTTTATTATTTTTTTTTAGGTAAAAAGGATTATCAGGGTTAGATGCATGTTTAACCAGAATTTGACATACCGAAGGATAACTTGGTTGTCGAGGAACTTCTGTTGGGATTTAGTAACAAACACCTGTAAGAAAGATATCAAAAGATATACGCCCGAAGTCCATAGCAGACATACGAAAAAATATCAGAGACACATATCCGGGGTTGGTAGCGGATATACAAGAAAGAGACATCAAAAATACATATCCGTGGTCGGTATCGGACACGTAAGAAAGAGATAGAAAAGATACATATCTGTGGTCGGTATCGGATATGCACAAAAAATATAGAAAAGATACATATCAGTGGTCGGTATCAGATACATACGACAGAGACATCAAAGATGCAAGAACATATGTCTGGGGTTGGTAGCAGACATATAAAACAGGTATCAAAAATACATATCCGTGGTCGGTATCGGATACGTAAGAAAGAGATATCAAGAATACATATCCGTGGTCGGTATCGGATACGTAAGGAAGAGATATCAAAGATACATATCCGTGGTCGGTATCGGATACGCACAGAAGATATCAAAGATGCAAGAACATATGTCTGGGGTTGGTAGCAGACATATAAAACAGGTATCAAAAATACATATCCGTGGTCGGTATCGGATACGTAAGAAAGAGATATCAAGAATACATATCCGTGGTCGGTATCGGATACGTAAGGAAGAGATATCAAAGATACATATCCGTAGTCGGTATCGGATACGCATAGAAGACATCAAAGATACAAGCACATATGTCTGGGGTTGGTAGCAGACATATAAAGCAAGTATCAAAAATACATATCCGTGGTCGGTATCGGATACGTAAGAAAGAGACATCAAAGATACATATCCGTGGTCGGTATCGGACACGTAAGAAAGAGACATCAAAGATACAAGAATATATGTCTGGGGTTGGTAGCAAACATATAAAACAAGTATAAAAAATACATATTTGTGGTCGGTATCAGATACGTATGACAGAGACATCAAAGATACAAGAATATATGTCTGGGGTTGGTAGCAAACATATAAAACAAGTATCAAAAATACATATCCGTGGTCGGTATCGGATACGTAAGAAAGAGACAGACCGAAGAAAGCTCTTACAAAGAAAACACCAATCGAAGATGAACTTACTGAGGGAAGAGACCAAACAAATGGGACTCCTGACAAATGATACCAGTCGACGATGGATTTTAACAAATGATACCAACTGAAGCGGGTTTCGAAAAATACCCGCCGGAGCCGGATTTTGAAAGATACCAGCCGAAGCGGGATTTTAACAAATGATACCAGCCTAAGCGGGATTTTAACAAATGATACCAGCCTAAGCGGGATTTTAAGGGATGCCAACCGAAGGTGGACTTCAGGATAAAGAGACCAGCCAAAGGGGAATCTTCATCGAGGAATACTATGCCGAAGGTAGATTCCTAAGAAAAGAATTCCGGTCGAAGGCGAACTTACAACTGCAAAGAGACCAACCGAATGGGACTCTCAACAAATGATAAAGGTATGCATATCTGGTCAGAGTTAGATACACAAGAGCGAAATTGATCATCAAGAAACAAATGTTTAGAATTGCTAGCGAACACAGGAATGAGGCTAATCGAAGAAAGCCCCCCCAAAAAAAAAGGATGCATTCGCCTAAACAAGGGCGGGAGACAACTGGACTTTGAAGAGACATTGAAAGACTCTTAATCATAAAAAGTTAACTAGGCTAACGAAAGGAGGACCCGACTAACGTGGATAAGCCAAAACAAGGAACCGACTAAGCAAGACCTTCAAAGAGCACCGATCGAATGTGAACTCTGCAAGAGAAAGGGATCGGTCAAAGCAGACTTTAACAAAGAAAAACATGTTAGGCTTTCGATAGGCTGCAAATACGCAAGAACTAAAAATCCCCCAGGCCAAAGGCGGGATGTATAATTCTTCAAGAGTGGCAATTGTCAGAATTACCACACACCAAGTATGGATACTCAAACACTTGAAAAGAAAGAAAGGTTATAAGCCAACTCTTACTCATACTCTAACTACAAAGCAAACGCGGGTAAAATAACCAATGGCTTGCAAAGAAAAGCGCAAACCACAAACTTACTGGGGAAATGGAGAAATACCAAAGACCCGACTGGTGGTGAATCCAAACAAACTCTGCTGGGGAAACATAATAGAATTACCCTAGGCTTCTTGTGGAGGTAAATCAAATCTGAGCGCATAACAATCTGGTTGCCACAAGTGGACACAATTGGCTTACTCATGCATGTTTGAATTTTTTTTAGCGTAATGCTCCATACAATAGAAATGCTACGCGTTTTAGTAGATGCAATGTAATGATGCAAGTTTAGTAATGAATTATGAAAACATATCAATAATCGGCTGCTGAGAAGTTAGTGAACTTTCGAACGATTGTTCTTGCACATCTGATCTTTTGTAGAGAAAAAGCAATTTGTACTTCAATGGGGAACCGAGATTTGAAATCATCAATGTTTAAACGATTGATCTCACTCGGGAAGTAACTTCTTGGGGAGAATACTACAAAAATGAAATTGTAGTTCAGAGAAAAACTTGAATTCTGATCAAACTCCCTACTTCACGAGGAATGAATTTCTTATCCTCTGTTGGAAAGAGGAAAGCTTTACTAGGAACGGAAATTTCTGGCATAGAAATTCTTGACGAAGATAACTTCCGTTGGGGAGTATATAAATTCTTAAATAAAAAGAAATCTACTCAGACCGCACTGGGGATAACATTGCTGGGAGGTAAGAGATCCTCACTTGGGGAAGAAGTGAACATTCAGGGCTAAAAGCTCCATCGGGGATATCCCAACCAAATCTTCTACCACTGGTAACGAAAGAGTTATGGCTGGAATTCTCCTGTACACCTCACCAGAGAGATAAGACACTTGCTCCATTAGGGAAGGAAGAATAATTCCACTGGGGAAATTTGGTCTCATTATGCGAACATCTTCATGTTAGTCATATACAGACCCTTCTTGATTCATTTGCCGGTATGTATCTTGTCACACAAAACCAAAAGTATTTGAAAAACAGAAATTGGGGCGACGTGCCCCTGTTTGGAATGGAAAACCTTACTGAGGAATATACAACTTGAACGATCAATCATAGGGTAAAAACCGCGATGCAAGATTGCAACTTCAATACGTCGACTCTGAGGAGAAATGCCACTAAAAAAATGGACTTTAGAGGAGATGCTGCAAAAAAAAAATATTGCAGTCTAATGAAAAAGGGGTCAACCAGACTTTAAACAACTTCTATATTTCCAGGGAGAAAGAACATTCTTCTTCCGCAGAGAAATCAAGATGCTTCACTGGGGAGAAAATGTCTCAAAAGAGGAACCCCTTGGTAGATAGGTCTATGTCAAGTAGCAACAGGTCTTTTACTGGGAAGAGGCGTCCCCTTAGGAAGCAATATTCCCATCGAGTCTTGTTTGAGTAAACAAACCCAAATAATCTTTGTGTTACTGCTCATGTCCTACTGTGGATAACAATCCAAACTTTAACTTGGGGTAATAACCTTGACTTAGGACAAAGGATGTCAGTAAATGGACTTAAGTCTATGATAAGTTGAAGATTACAATCTTGACTTCTCAACATGATTTTCAACTTCATAGGTCATTTAGCCTGTGTATGGACTTGGTCTGGTCAACCACTAGCAAAGAGAGAAATCTCTTACATAAATTCCTGCCCCAGTTTGTAAGGCTTTTGCAGAAAAATTGCCTCGAGAGGACTTTTTGAGATTTATACCACCAAGATAAACTTCCCCAGTGTTATGAACTTCAGAATACTGCCCATGGCTGACCAAAGTTGGAAATAACTTCAACAATGCTTGATTGAATTCTCGTGCATCTCTGAATTCTGAAAAGATTCTCCCCTAATCAACAAATTCTTAGAGAGATTTATCAAATCTCGACATAACTGCCACAGTGCTATGAACTTTGGAACATGATGTTCAGATAACCGAAATTGGAGAGGATTCCGACTATGCTT